TGTAAGATTATGATATTTCACAACATGAAGTTCAAGAACTTGTTAAATTATTTAATTTATTTGAAGTATTACACGCCCTTTGATAGTTATAATTGTTACTGCAATGAGATAGTATATAATAAATATCTTACTAGACGGCCATGATTAAGGTTATTTTAAATATATAAGAATAATTTATTTACTGATTGTTGTTCTTCTTAACACAAAAATTACCTTATAGAAATTAACATGTGTACTAAACTAACTGGAAATCATAAATTATTCAACTATATAAAAAAATTAAAGATTTTATTAATGGAATTGAAATAAAAATAGAATGTACACCATTTGTAATTTTAAAAGGTCCAAAAAATCCCCTCTAAGAATATTTTTTTGGAAATTTACATCATAACGAGGAACTTACTTAATTAATCGAACCAAGTCCTATTGATCAAAATAAGTTAAGTCTTGCTCTTGAAACTAGACTTCTCCTAAACTAAAGTATACATAACATAAGACAAAGGAATCGCAAAGGTGTTATGTAACTTAACTTGCAATGTTACGTGTTTTCTTGAATCCTATGTTCGTCTTCAGCTTTTATAATTGGAATGTACATATGTATAATAAGGTACCCAACAAACATGAAGTCGAAATGATTGTTGTTTTTTTAATAAACAAAACAATCTATATTTATTTATTTATTTCGGTTATAGAACAGTGCTTATAATATTCACATGATAAAATATAACTAAACAATACTACGACCAATACAGGATAACACAGTTTAAGTAGAAGTATAAATATAAACGTAACTTAAGTATTAATTAATCACGGATCAGAAAATTAACTACATTGACTGTTCGTTATGCGTATGCGTATCACAATTAGAATGAAAATTAATAACTGAAAGTATTCTCTTATATTAAAAGTAATTGTATGTACAACAATAAACAAGCGTAAGATCGCTAATTATTTAGTAGAATGTCCATATTGGTACCTACAATATTATTCCTTCAATAGACATCAATAATATGAATCTTTTACTCACACTCACATTTATTATAAAAAATAAAATCTGCTGTTTAAAATATTAAAACACAACAAAATAGCTCTGAACAATGGAAGATTGTTGTGATTCAATACTGTATCGTCAAACTGTGCTGATGGCCTAAAACAATAAAGACGTCCGCAAACACAAGAGATACATAGCCTTGTCTACACAAACGCTTAAACCATAATTGCGATCTAAAACAAGCTACTAGTATGCACTTAACTATGCCAGCAATAGCTGAACTTTATGATGACATTTATCTTATGTGTCGCTTTAACGCAACGTTGTCTTTGACTACTCTTTGGTATTATACATATAATTATTATTGTTATTTCTATGTAATTATGAAATAATTATTTCTTCTCAAAATAATTATTAAGATGTGTGTTCATTTCGATATCTCTATACTTTAAAATATTTTATTAGCATTTTATACTCGCTGGTTGTGAATTTGTTTTTAACGTTTTAAAATTCAGAATTGGGTTCATACCAAAATATAGTGTCTAATAAAAATATCTATGAATCAAATAATTAAACACAGTATTTATTTTCTTTTTCAGCTATAATTTGAGTTGCAGTTTTTACTTCAAAACGCTATTATTGATGAATATTTGATGCTAGATATTGCCTGCACCTTGGGCCTTTGAGATACAGTTTTACGTGATTTTTCGAGACCTTTTCTACCAGACCCCAATTTGATTGACACAGGAAATACCCTTTCCATTAAAATATATTTTTTAAAATCAGCCTTTAATTTAATAAATAATAGCGTAACAAACATACAATTGAATGGAAAATTTTCTCCTATTCGAAATCTTTTACAAAGTAGTAATTAGTAAATATTACTCTTTGTGGCATAACGTAACTGTTTAAATTTAATTAATTAATTAAGTAAAAATAAATAAAAAATATTAGAGTTACATATTTGTAAAATAAAGTTTAATAAAATTGGTTTTTTTCGAGTCTTAGGTAACAATCCTTTTTCAAAGAATTTCCTTTTATGCTGCGAAGTGTTGAATACATATATATATCCTTAAAACACTTCCACGGTAATTCCACAGAAAGGGCAAGGGTTCCGTGATGTTAAACTTGTGTCATTATTCCCTATATTTTGCTTTTAAAGATGTTAAAGGTTTAATGGAAAAACGATTTTGACGACCACAAAATGTATTTTTTCTTTTATTACCTGATACATATTTTTTATCCCTTAAAAGCCACATAAACAAGATCATACATGTTCTGTCCTGAGTTCCCGCAACTTTCTCCGGATAAAAAAAAAATAATACCACAAATTTTTTCATAATGGTGATATTCATATGATGTCTAATATATATATTTTTTTTAATGCGAATGGAGGCAACCGAGCAGACAGCCTATCTGATGGAGGTAGAATCGTCGCTCATGGACATCTGCAACATTTCTTATGTCGCGGATGTATCGCCACCCTTCATTAAGGAAGAGGGGAAGGAAAAGTGGGAAAGGGAGGAAAACGAAAAAGGGTAGAAAAGGGCAACCGGCTCTCTCATACATCGGACAAAACTCAGCCATTAACGACTACTTCACTCTGATCTTCTAAGAGAGGGTGGTACTTTCCCGGTCGAGCCAGCCCATGTTCGAGCTGCAGTAACATTACCACAGCTAGCCTTATAAAAATGGCGGTGAATTGTTAATATAACATATAAATAAAAGTAGTATACTACATAATGAATACTATATATTGAAATCCCGCGTCCGAAAAGTCATTACTGATTAAAACACCAATGACAAGCCGTATAATTAAATAAATGGCCGACCGAAGTTAACAATGACTGCATTCACTCAATTAAGGCAAGGACTTAATTTTTTTTGCCTCGAAATTTTATGCATAATCTGAATAAAATGAACCACTTAACAAACGTTACTTTAATCTTTTTTAAAGTGCCTCACACAAAAAAACCGTAATATGTCAATAATAAATATACATTACATAATGATTTTTTAAATTTTATTTGAAGAAGTGGGAATAAAATTTGATATTACGTATTAAAAAACAAGAGCTTGAAATATTTCTACCACTTATATTATGAATATGAATATTAGTATATGTTTTACTAACTCAATCGTCTAAAAATCTGCGAATGATAACTTGTACGTGATGATACTGTATAACTTCTTGTATACTATAACTATAGTAACTACTGTTGGTTACTTAATCCACAGAATGCTACGGGAAGTGAAGGCCTAAGTAACTTCCTTTATCAACGAAATCTATCAAAAGTAGTAGGTATATAGCCTTTATTTATAAATACTTTTAAACACAGATTATACATGTTCTAACTAAAACTTTTCAAAAGTATCACGTAGATGATAGACTGCATCAACGGTCTTTAAAATATTTAATACGCTAGACACTATATTTTTAAAGTATAATAACTACCATTTCAACTAATATACTAAATCATTGTAAATAATTCTTATGAGTATGATTAGAAATTTGAAGAAAACCAAGTATTAAAAAGAACAAAATCATGCATACAATAAGTATATATAGAGTAGTTGTAATAACTTAAATTTTCCGAGTAATTAAATATTTGATTTTAATTTTATCTCTGAATAAGACTGTAATAACAACGGAATAATTACCAATACCACAGAATCACAGCGTCGTAATTTATTTTAAATCATGGAACAACATATAATTATGTTTTTATTTATTCCAGTGTAACTTTATGATGGTTAATGTCTTCATTATTAGCGACTCTAAATGCTAATGAAAGTGATTATGTTTTATTGAATCATAAATGTTAAAAGTATATTAAGTTAAATCAATAATAACTAATGTGCCAATAAAAAGTTCAAAGTTGCTACACTAGAATCAATCTTTCAATTTCATATATAAATGTAAAGCAAACTGATACTCTTTTATTCGTTTTTAAAAAATATAAATTATTTCGATTACATACCCTTAGAGAATTCTAAACAGTTACAAAAACATAATATCTTCGATTGCGGATTAGCAATAAATTATGTACTTATTTTCTGTAATTACTAGGAAAAACAAAGTTTTATCACTTTAAAATTGAAGTGTTTTTTTTCCAGGGTTAAAAAAATATTTAAAAATATATTTTAAGTTTAAGTAAACATAAATATATTTTATTATTCGATTCATTGACATTTCTAATACTTATAGCATAAAACTAACCATTTCAATACACTATACATTTAACTTGAAGCAGAGCATACGTTTTAAACATGAAATATGTTTCTAATAATTCTTTGAGTAAATATTCATTCTTATAATGCAGTGTAGCTAAGCTTGAATTACTGGAGAAAATTCTTTAAAAATGCAACAGAGTGGAAGGATAATGTTTGTGGGTAGATTTACAGTTGCATCTGGGGCTATGAAAATATTTTTTCTCTCAATTCATATAAACTATCTCTTTAAAAGTTTTGTTTATATTTACAATAAAATGATCTCAAATACTCAGTGATTTAGAGAATTGTTTGAAACTATCAAGTACTAACACAATTGAATATTTAAAAATCAATAAGATTTTGTATGAAACATTCAACATTTTGTTTTTACTAAAATCCCTCAAGACGTCTATAAGATAATACTTTAAGATTTAAATTTATATAACTTGGATATGTTTTTATCACACTAGATACTGTAAATTATAATCTTAAAACATATCTTTCTTATTGGTTACTTATATCGAGTTCCCACCGCATACATATTTGGGCATAAGATATGTATATATTTTTTTATTTTCTTCCTAAAAAAAGTAGAAGAACCTTTTTTGCTTATTTAGTTTCCATTTCAAACGCTTAAATTTTTTTTTTTTTGATACACAATAGAAACAAGAGAACAGATGTTGAAGAGAGTTAAAATTATTGACTTAAAATTTCATTCAATATATTTTATTAAATTTGCAAAACATATACGAGTTTTTATTAAACTTCAAATGTTTATTTTAAACTATCATTAAATCTACTTCATTTTTTCTCCTGGCTCTTGTTCTTGTACCAAAATGACGTGTTTGTTAGCCCTTCTCCTGGCATGAGGGCCTAATCTGGCCCGTCTTTCGATAGTTCCATCTTCATTTACCTGAAACGATAAATTACTTTATTTCTGTGCATTTTTTATGTTTACTGATAACATTATTATTTTCTATCTGGTCACTATAACTAAGTATTTTAACGTTAAATTGAATAAATGTCACTGTATCTTTTTACTTATTACAATTAATTATTACATTATTATTTTTGCTACTTTAAGTTGCTTCATGTAAGATTTTTTTGCTATATAACTTTAAAATTTTCTTACCTGTACATTTTTTCTACCTGCAACATTATTTTCTAGAAATTTATTAACAGCACCCAAAGTGTTAATTGGAATCTAAAATAAATAAAGTATACAATTATTTATTTTTTAAAACATTTGAATAAATTATATATTATTTCTGCCATCTCGGTGTCCCTTGCCGATTTAATTGGCGTACACTCGTAGTTATGTATGTGCGATTTGTTACAAAGTCAACAAAAACTTACTTTCAAAACCCCTGTTGCGGAATCTTACTTGAAATATTATTTCAATAAATGACGGATGTAACTCTTTAAATTGAAATAAAAATTGCTGTTTCTATAATATTATAACCTTTTTAAAACTTCAAGTGTGTGTACTAGAGTTAACTTTATGTTTTTAGTATTACTACATATAAATGAATAACAAAAGTTTGAAATATTTAAAGAAATAAGTAATGTTTACACAATTTTATCTAAATATTTTAATGGGTAGACCTTTGTCATATTCCTTTTTAATAAAATTATTTTCCAATTCCTGTTCTCAAAAAAATAAGCGTTTATTTAATTACAATTTACTTACGGCAAATATATCGTCAATTATTTTTGAAGCGCTCGGTGTTTCAACTTTTATATGTGAGGCAGATGATTCATATGATGATGGTGATGGTGATGATAATGGATCATGTTTTAATGATGATATCTCATCCGTTTCTAGGGAATAATTATTGTATTACAATTTATTTGAAATTTATATTATGATAAGAGAATTAGAATTAAAAAGAAGCCGGTACCATCTCAACAAAAAAACAAATGTAAATCAAATAGTTAGTTCAAATAGTAAGCCCAATTTTTAATATGATAATTTCAACTTCTTTTACAAGAAGTGGAAATAATCATGAATTAGTCACCTTTACCTATTTACCTTTATCTACGTCTTCATATTACCCCATTCCTTAATAAAATGTTCTGAATATAAATTAAAACATAAAATAACCAATTTATATGGCATGTAATTTTTTTAAATATGGGCAAAGTGCCCCAATTCCTTTTATAAAATTTTTGTTGGAAATATCGGCATCAGTTCCATGAAATCCCATTACATTCAATTACAAATACTTAACATTCGATGTAAATTCATTAACTTTTGATGAGAGCAACATTTGTTTTTCCAGTTTTTAATTTAGCATACCTAGTCCAGACTAAAAGTAAAAATAAAAGGAAAAAGCAAACAATTCAATTTAGAAATAATTCTGGACGGGATTTAAATGAATTTAATGTACCAGCTAAATGTTGAAGCTATGTATGTCTATAATTTTATTGAATTTGTTAGAAATACAGTACTGTAATTATGTATGTTTGCAATTCGTTACCAAGACTGTTTATTTTAATTTGTTAACAGAATTTCAGTTCGAGACAAATAAAGTAATAAAATTATTAAGATAAGATATAATTATAAAAATTAAAAATTATAATAATATCATACAGAATTTTATGTTCCCATTAGTTCAAATTATCTTAAAACACCATGTTAAAAAGTTAGATAATTTTTTTTGACAAAATATAAAATAATAACCATTTGAATATTTTAAAAAATGGAAAATTTAATAATCACAAAATACCTACACAATGTAAATCCACTAATTTTGAAACCCACTTTGGATACTTTAATTATTCTAGAGTAATTTACAACTGTTTGCCTGAACCATCGTACTATTAAGCCTTCAATTATAAGAATATATTATTATAACTGAATTTGTTTATATAACAGAGCTATTATATATAGATTATAAGGCATAAATTCATTGTTAATGTTATTATAATTTTCTAAAACATTAATATTACAACACAATAACCAACTTTAGATATTATACACCATAATAACCACCTGCTTGAACAGAAGCAGATTTTTGAACTGATATATTTGTATTAGCAGCTGTATTGCCGAGAAAATCACCAACGGCTTTTAATGCCGAAATTGGAATCTGTAAAAAACAAAATGGATATTATTATTTTTAAACAAAAATTGAAACAATTTTCTATTCTATCTTACATAACTTACATTAAAAATGTCAGCAAAAAATGTTGGACTTTTTTGCACAGACACTTCCTTTCTGTAAACGATATTTCCACCTCCATTTGCACTTCCATCGATTGCAGCTCTAGATCCAGAATGAACTGCGGTTTCCGTTTCGATATCGACCCTTTTTTGTATAGAAGGCTCTACTGTTTTATGTATCACCGATGGGGCAGGAGCTATAGCATCACCCTGATTTCCGATGTAACCCCCCAAAAAGGCAGTTTTACGGAAATGATGTCTGTGGGGCTTGTGATGCGTGTGTATTATTTCTTTCTCAATATATTTTGTCTTCTGAGGTACAAAAACCTAAAGCATGAGTGTATTATTAAAAAATATGTATGTGAAAGTCTCCTGACAAAAATAAAACACTGTTAGCACAATTATTATCCATGGAATAATAATTTATATCATATATATAGTTTAAGAGATATTTTGGTATCTGTTAAACTCTCAAGAAAAAACACAAATGAGTATTAGTTTTAAGGTGATAATTATAATAAAGCTGCTTCAAAGCCTTTGGTGCCATATATTTTATTACTAGAACAAACCTGGCGAAATGAATAATCAAGATTATGCTGGGGCTTTTGCTTTAAAAGGTTTGTATAATTTGCTGTAATTATCACACTTAATAAAGAATTTAAAAGGCCTTGCAAGTCAGACAACAAATTTGTTTCTTTTTTAAATTCCAGATCAGTTTTTCTTATATTACTCACTTCTTTTACAATAACTGGTTGCTCGTTTTGTTGCAAATGAACTTCTTTTGAAATAGCAACTCCACTCAATGGCTTTATTTCATTAACAGCGTTAAATTTAAAACCAGTTTCAAGATTATTATTTGAGTTAACCGGCTTTAAAATTTCTTTATTACTTGAGAAAGAAAACCCTGAAGAGCCTTCTAAATTTGTTTCTCCGCCCTGAAATTCCATGTAAAATAGTTATTATTTTTGAACAAATATATCATATAAAAACTACGTACTTGAATGTACAATAAACTATAGCTGATTATTGGTTAATTGTACGGTGAAAACTAAGCATACACAAGTGGTTTCGTTTGCAGTTGTGTTCAAGCACATGCACACAGAGTTTTAATGACGGGGTCTGTTAAATTAACAATAACGTTATAGTTTCAATAATATTATCATACCGTTCTTTAGAAAAAATATTATGCATGCCATGCATATTAAATCATAACAAACCATTTTACCTTGTTTAACTCATATGATCAGGATATAAATTCTGCAGTTGGAAAATAATTAAATAATATATAATTTATACAAAACTTTATTGAGTTTTTATAGTAACATTTTTGTTCTTTTGAATCCTAAATTAAATTCTTTTGATACATTTATAATAGGAAAACTAATTGAAACTCAAAAAGAGCTGAAAATGAAATTAACAACTACAGTTTTTGTAGAGAACTTTTAGATTTTTTTAAATCTTTTCTTCTTTGCTTTCTTTCTTTCCATTTCTGACGAATGTCACTTAGAGAGTCACCTACCAGACCGGAAACTGCATAATTAGGTCCAGCTTGAGCAGATGCGAAACCTCCTCCGGCAGATTTTTCTGCATTTACACCACCTGCTAGACCTGCTTGCGCCTTGATGTTTCCACCTGCAGTTGCTCCCGCATAAAGACCGCCTATGAAATCGTAATTTTGTCATTAATTCAAGCTTCCTTTGATTCTATATATTTTTTAAATATTTGTTTTAATATACCTGAAGAACCACCATGTTCACTTACTACACCACCTAGGCCAGCCCTAGCTGCTTGACCCGAAGGTGTTCCGGCTTCAGCATACAAACCTCCTGCCCCACCGCTACCATCTGTTGGAATAATTAAAATAATAATTCCGATACTTGTATGAAAATAAAGATTTTAAATGAAGATATAAAAGTACAGCTAACCTAATAGACCACCAATTCCTACACCAGCATGATATCCACCAAAATTTACTCCAAGTTTGCCATCTTTAAATGATATAAACTGTGGTGCCTGAAAAGAAAGACCTTGCAGAGTTACACAAATATATAATCGAGTTCAAACTATATAAAAATACCTTATTTTTAACTCTTTATTACATTACATATAAAATACATTATTTTGCAATATGATAAATAACCACATGAATGGTTTTTCCACAGCGTAATGACGTCATGCATTTTATTACAATCTTTGTGCAATTAATAGTAATTTACAACTAAAATGTCTTGATACTGAACTTTAAACTCAATAAAAATATATGGATTTCCATGTTTAATATTTACAAATATACTTTTGGTATGAAAAAATGTTCCTCCGTGCAAATATAACAAACAACATTTTTATTATTTCAATATTAATTATATTCTCTAGCAAAAGCTATATACTTTTCTAAACATAACAATTAGTCTATACTAACTTCAAATCAGCTTCTAACAAATTAAAGTAATGGTTAGCCTAAAATAACTTGAATCCAGTCTCTTAAGAGTTAATGACCAAAATTAATTGGTCAAACCAGTTAGAGAGACTAAAAAAGTGAAAACTTCTCAGCAATCTATGGATTCACCGTAAACATGCAATAAATTTAGAAATGCAGAACGAGTAGTAAGATATAGTAGATTGTTACATACATTAGCGCTAAAATAGCGCACCTTGATTCAAGATTGGTCGCAAGCACTTCTAAAATTTTCCATAACCGTCGAAACGCATTCAACGCCTAACGATAATCTCGGATTGTATGAGGTATATCATGTATTCCGCCTACCGAGACACAGACAGTGACATATATTTTGTTTTGTCCCCAATCCATCCGTCCACTCGCAGAATTTATCCAATTCATCCAATAGTATTTGACAGTGTTTAGTTACGTGTCAGTATTATGTTTGAGATTCTATGTATTTACTGTTAAACTTAAACCGATATCCCCATTTTATCTCGTTACTTATTAGTTTACACAAACAAAGGCCTTAAAATAGTCCTATAACGTACTCAGAGTTTTTTAAAGGCCTTCTTTTGTTATAGAAAACCGAGTTTTTAGAATCATTATGAAAATGAAGTAATAAATTTATGAAAATGAAAAGTTGTTATATATAGATTTTTTTGTCCTGATCGTTATTAAATATAAAGAATAGTCTTATATACATATATAACATCAAAAGCAAATTTAATTGATCACATGAGAAATATTAATTACACAGGCTACATATTAATATAATGTACAATAACAAGCCGACAATGCTTCTCACGTAACAGTTGCGACAGATATTTACGTCACGTCGAGGAAATAAACAATTCCTGACGATCGTTTTATTTACGTTTTTTAAAAGGCTAACTAGGATTCTGTTGTAGAGTTCGGATTAAGGCGCGTTTTTCAATTTTAATTGCAAGGGTTCTCGACGTCTACTGTTTAACTAAAAAAAAACAGTTAAAGTTTTTATTTTTTTATTATATTATATTTATATGGAATTTACAAATAGCTATATATCAGGTTCGTGTATTAGTGTGTCATGTAAGCTGAAGTATGTTTTTTTTCATTTACTATTAATTAATTTATGATATATAATGTATTATAATTATGTACATTGATCAAATACATAAAAAGTTTAATTAATAATAATATCCACTTTTCCAATTGGTTACTCAATACCAGTTCGCATGTGTACATTTTGTACTATAAGATATTATAATTAGGTATAGGAAATCTTTAACACAATCAGTATTCCGGTGTAATTGCAAAAACGTTGTATATTTGTTCATTCAGGAAAATAACATCCTTTGTTGCGAATGAAGTACGTTTGAATTTTATGTGTACAAAACTAATTAATAATTTTAATCTTTTCTTTATAAACAATTATTATGAAAACTAGAAATTGTTTTTTTTTGTCCTATTTAACTTGCAATATGTTCGAGTATATTGTATAGTCTATGAACCCTACTCACAGACAATCACATGACGTTATCACATCTTGCTTGACTACTAGCTGTTTTAAATTATTTAATTATAAGGAAACAAAATAAATATTTTTTACAATTGATTGCGAATTACTCATAGCGATGCTATGATGATAGCATATTTATACAAACCGTTATTTTCCTTCAACATACCGATTTTCTTCCAATTAAATAATTACAAAAAGTATTAATTTTATGACGGCGGACATTTCGAAAAAATTATGCGGTCATGGCTACATACTTCAAAATGATTCATTCAGTAAGAAAATTATATACACGTAATGGATTATTTAAAACCAAATAAGTAACTACCCCGGATAGGAGTATCTATTAAAATAATAAATAAAAAATCATGTGAGTATTATAACAATTATTTAAAATTTGTCACTGTTACATATTAATAAAAATGAATGAAGCTAATATTAAGTATTACAAAGTTTCATAAGCCAAGATATTTAAGAACTATTCCATTACTATTGCATATTTAAAAAAATCAAGTAAAATGGTATCATTTTATTGCATCAATTATACATTAAAACATCTGGAAAGGCTATTTGCTTTCTTAAATGTTACTTATAAAAGATTCATACTATGATCATATTACATAGTAATAAAACATTGTAAAACTAACCAAACTCCTTTTCACGAAGAGAAAATGTATTTAAAATGAAACAAAAATAAATGGGTAGCACATTTATACTATCAGCGATTTCTCATATTGGGAATTGTTTATTTCTCCCATACATTTATTATCTTATATTTGTTAATGAAGTTTACATTACCAACATCATTCTAAACTTTAATTTAATGTCAATAAAACCTTAAAATATTGTTGGTAATTCATAAGTGACTCAATAATAAACTGGATTCTAAATTTTTAAAGCCATTAAACTAATATACAGTACGTCAAATATAAATTACTCATGAAAACTTGTTTTAGCGTAAAAATATTATAATACTTTGGTAGTCAATGACGAAAAAGCATCAACGTCAATTAATTAGTCATAAAATTTTTAAGTTGTTTCTCCAGCACGTTTTCTTATTTACACTTATTTACATTTAGGTTTCTGTTTAATCTATCAAAAAAAATCTGCAAAAAGACATGCTGATAACCTTGAACATTTTATTTTTATTATTCTTGAAAACGACAATGATACCAAATACACTACAATTCTTATTCCGAAAGCCCAAAAGTTTTATATTACTATATATATATATATATATTTATATCTATTTAATTAAACTAAAATATATTTATAATAATTCTATGGCAATATTATACAAGAGTGTTTAACGTTATAATTACCATCTTTAAGCACTCGAGCAAAAACTAATGAAAACATGTTTTTATACACTATTCGGTAATTTTCCAGACGAGCTTCGAATGCGTATTTTATTTTCTAGTAATCCAACGAATAAAATGATTTAATACTTATATAATAACCAAAGATGATATGTGAAATATTTTTTTTGAAGCTTATATTTTGACATAAATCAAACTTAACTTACAAGATATATTAAAATCAACGCCATAAGTACATACATATATTTAAATTGTACTTTCGTGCTTTTTTATTTTACGATGTTTTTTTTTCTAAATATTATCACGGACAATCCTATTTCTACAGCTACCTAAATATGAGTATAATATTTTCTCCAAAACGATGTAGCTATTTTTGCTCAAGTTAATAAAATTACACATTAAGTTTCGAATTTATATTATTGTACATAGGTATCTACCATACAAATATTAATAGTATGAGTGCGTTAACATTAATAAACTTAAATTTATTTACGTTTTGTCAATAGTGTAAAAGTAAAAAATAATATTTATTTACATTGTCATCATCTTACCGGTTATGAATAAACTCGATTGGAAACGATTTACCATATTCGTGACTTGAAAAGTAAATTTACGAAATATCTGATTGAACCTAAATAACTCGCTTAATATTCATATGCCACCTACCAAATATTCTTTTGAATGTTTGTATTTGATATTTAAGCAGAAGATGTTAACCGAATTTTGTCAAATAAAAATAAATAATTGCTTCCTTAAAACATCGATATTATAAAAGTATAAAATTTTCTACTATTACTCTAACTACAAAATTTGTCTCAATTAAGCTTTAAAATATGTTTGCACAATATCCTTCACAACGTGGGTCAATAAATATTGACAGCTGATACTGTAAAAGTGCCTTAATTGTGCCTTGAGGCTTAAATGAATTCCGGCTTCTCTGTATGGAGTCATACACAGAAATTATAAACAGAATTTATTTCTTTCAATGCTTTACTGAATATTAAAGTAGGAAAACTAATATGTTTAATATAAATTGTATTCGTTTTTAATAGATAACTTATAGATTCAAAATATGATTATTTTAAATAACGTCTTATTAAAAAACAATTGTTATGTTCTTATTTCGAAATACTTAACTTTTTGAATTTAATTTCAACAACAAACCGCTTTAAATTCAAAATACTTTTCATAAAAAATATAATTAACTTAACAACTAAAGTATGAAAAAAAGACTTACTGAGTATGTTTGAGCAATTATAACAGCCAAGAAGATAATTGTAACGTAAGTCATTTTATCTGAAAAAATACAAAATAAGACATAAATAAAATTGCTATAAGTATAAAAAAGATACAACAACGAACATATCAGCGCAATAACACTTCGGTTTTTAAATATTTTGATGGGGAACGTCATTCTAGGATCTGTAGGATTACCCAGTGGGCATTGGCTAAATTAAACGATGAATATTTGATGGGAAACAGAACAAGCTACGAGAACTCCTAGTAGGTAGTGGTGCTTATAGTGGAATCTTGTTTAATATAGGCAATCTAGTTACCACTACAGTATTACAGCTCGATACAATCCTCAGCGCATTACAATGTAGCCAAATAATGAGAATTCATAGCTATTGGTTGTATAATTTAGTATGGTAATTATTATTTCGTCTATTATTTATTGTGATGTATATACTATATAAAGTTCGTTCTTTAAGAAAAATTAGTTAATAACAAAAACTAAAGACAATAATATCACTTTAAGCCAGTGCCAATTTTATTTTGA